CACGTTTTGGGTTTTGTTCTTTAAATGAACTAATAGGAACAGGAGGAGTGGGGAAGAAACTTTTAATTTTCAATCTACACATTTGAGAATTGTTTCTTTTTACAAGGTACATATATATTCCCTTTGTAATTAAAAATATAAAGTAGATTAGCTTTAAAATTCGATTCCCAAAGCTCTAGACTGTGAGCTCCAAGAGGGCAGGGTTCACATTTGCTTTCTTCACCATTCCATTCCCCATGTCAGTCAACATAGCGCCTGGCGCAGTAAGATGTTTGCTGAACTCACTGAGGAACAAAATGTAAGACAGTGGGAGCCTCTTGTTAAACTAAGTCATGTGCCTTTCAACAGTAGTTTCCGGTTGAAAACCTAAGAATCTATAAACCATGTAAAAAGGAAAATATACTCGTTCCAACCTAGCGCTACTTAAAAAAATTTTTTCTTCTATTACGTAGACCGAATTAGACATTGTAAAATTCTTGAGCACTGTGGCAAATATTTATGCTACCAGTAACATAAGCACCACTGCTCTTGCTTTCTCTTAAACTTCTACCTCCTCATTCTGTCTGGGTTAACATGTCAGCATCATTGTTTCCATCAACCACTGCGGCTTAGGACCAGGTGAATGGCAGAGTAAATCATTGATTTCTGTCCTATTACTGCAACCTTGCTTCTTCTGTCTATCTTCTCTGCTACTGCATGGCCTTCAAGTTTTTATTTGAGCTGCTTTTTATTCTAACATCATTGTATTATACAAACAACGGTATTACACAAACAACGGATGGAAAACTGAAAATGTCTTGAAATGAGACCCTGGCATGAGGGTCAAAATCAGCCAACCTTTTCAGTTTTGCAATAAAGGCATCTTCATATTATCTCAGCCTTCCCCTGATTATTTAGTTGCATTATTTATATTGCTGCAGCTTTTTCCAGAGGGCTCTGACACACTTCAATTCTTCTTTCTTTCTTCCAAGTAATAAGAGAACAATATTTACTCACCTTTCATTAAACTCTCTGAATAAAATGAATCATAATATTTCAAATCAGATCTACTTGGTAGATGAACCTTAGGTAGGGTTCATTGCTAGCACAGCAAGGCTTAAGCATAGAAAGACTCCCCCACAAAACCATCATCTGATTTTCAAATGTCATTCCCATAACGCCACGCTTTGTCTTCCTTCTATGTCTTGGGTACTTCTACCTAGGACTGACATACATTTCCTTAGCTTCTCTACTTTCCTTCAACCCACAGTATGCATACAAATTCAAAATACTTATATAGGATGGAGATCTCTGCAGATCAGCTCCATTCCCCTGGAAACCAGCCCAAGAGCCATGGAATACCCAATGACTGCATGTCAGTAAGGTAAACTAGAACAGGAGAAGCTCAAAGCTTATCTCTAACATTGAGAAGAAAATCATTACACTGGTGAAAGGCTGAGATAATAGATGTACAACATGGCAATGTTCCACAGCTAGTGGAAGAATCAACTTGCATAATGAGAGCACAGGACAATGGCTGAAGAGAAAAATACTGATACCATCATACTGTTCTCTGAGATGGCATGTGGAGATGGAGCTCAGATTTAAGGCTGTGTGAAGCACGCAGACATCCTGTACTCAACCTGGACTTTCCATCACAAGTTATGGGTATCTCTCTAAATGGAATTCCTTGCCCATTTTATAGTTTACAGAATATTTTTTAAAAATTGTACTCTTTGATTCTAAAATCCAAATGGTTAGGTTTGTATCACCCATTTTACAGATGGTAAAAGGGAAGCCCCAAGAGGCTAAGAGACAGCTCTGAGGTCATAACTAGTAACTGACATGCCCAAAACTTGAACGCAGATCTTCAGACATCAAGTTCAGTGAACTTGATACGATTCCCTGTCCACCTCCCTAACCAGATGATCCTTAATTCAAACTGGTGAGAGCTCTTATTCAACCTCAAAAATTTTGTTGATATGTCATCTGCAAGGTCCCTTAAAAAAAGAAAAATAAAAAACTAGATCTCTACAAGATACCCACCTCTTGTGCAAATGACTCTGCTTTCTTTCGGAGGTCCTTCTCCAGCTCCAGGTTTACTTGCATCTCCTCATACTCTTCTACAGCTAATATGGACACTTAAGATGAGGAAAAGAAAACGGACAATATGCCACACAAATGATCAGGAACATGGATGAAAGAGTGTTGAAGATTCTTCCCACAGGCATACAGACACTATCATCCATTTCTCATTGGCATATAAATTGATACAACCTTTTTGCAGGGCAACCTGGCAATGTGAATCAAGAATGCACAACTATCCATACCCTTTGACTCAATGACTCCACTTCAAGGAATGTATATTCTAAGAGATAAATCAGGAGCACATACAGAGATCTGGTTGTAAGGATGCTTTCTGTATCATTGCTGAAAACAGTGAAATAATCTAGAGCAGCAGTCCCCAACCTTTTTGGCACCAGGGACTGGTTTCATGGAAGACAATTTTTCCACAGACGGGGGATGGGGGTGCGGGGGGCAAGGAATGGTTTGGGACGATACAAG